AAAGATACTTAATTAGCCAGGATGGAGTGAGTGAGTGAGTAAGTTTAGTTTTACGCCGCACTCAACAATATTCCAGCTATATGGCGGCGGTCTGTAAATAATCGAGCTGTTCCAGACAATCCAGTGATCAACAGCATGATCATCGATCTACGCAGTTGAGATACGATGCCATGTGTCAACCAAGTCAGCGATCCTGATCACCCGATCTCTTTAGTCGCCTCTTACGACAAACATGGGCTGCTGAAGACTAATTCTAACAATGATCTTCACGGGTGCCAGGATGGAAAAAATGTCTACTCAAAGTTGTTTTTCATCATTTGATACTAACTGAAGTGCGTGGTGTATTTGACGCTAACATTTAAGGGTTTGCCATGTATGTCTTTAAACCTAATGTTTCATTCATTTGAAATATCTTAATTAACGTATTCCTGTGTTCTTAAATGATCTGATGGCTGTGAGGAACCATGGTATTCGCTCAACAAATACAAGGTTAATACTGTGCACAAACATTCTTTGTGTAACAATATTGACCTACAATTATTTTTGAGTAATTACCAGTCTTCAAATACAGATCACGTAGGCAAAGTCTTACTTATTTAGACGTTCGCCAGTTGTGATCCATTGTGTGTTTCACAACTTTATGTTGGTTTTGTGGAATCTTTCTTTGAAAATTCAAAAGCAACGAAAGCCTGTTTCACGAGGCAACGGAAATGCATCTTTCCCTTTCTTAAATTAACTTAGGGCTGTGTTTATATTCTTGTCAAGCAGGATTCATAATAAAAATCATTAGTGTGCATATAAGAAGTATATAATTAAAAGCTTTTATTGTTTTTTGATCAAGTCGTTTTAAACCAGTCCTTCTCGAGTGGAAATAAATGTAAGTTTAGGTAGGTCCTAACAATAAACTGGTAAGTCTATCGGCGAAGGAAGCCTGTGCCAACGGGTGCGGCTGCAATCACGCAGTTCTAGTCAAATTCGAATTCAAACCGGCAAGACAATTAGTACAATAGATCCTAAAACACTTCTTGACATTATATGCATCCAAGAATACTATTGATCTATAACCATCCTAGAGGTGGCTAAGTGAGATGACAAATGACACATATTTGTACTTGCTGCGTCTGTTCTGCTCTGCCCACGAACACAGGAAAATGTCAAGTACACTAACACTACTGACACATCTCTGTGTCTACTTCAAGATGCACAATTGTAGCTCTTAAAGGAAGACCACAACAGTTCCTGTTGGACTCAAGAACACAGAGTTGTTATGTACCAAACGACATGTAAAACCAGAGTAATATTTTAGGTTTTTCATTATTTTTACGACATGGAAAAATGACACAGGGAACTGCATTGGACACCACTTCTGACACCACATGTCTGCCGTGTGTATTTTTGAAAGTGCTTCTGAGGTTTCAAACCCAGAACCTAAGGTTTGCTCGGAAAGAGCAGGGTGGGCTGAACATATATGGCTTAAGGTTTACATATGTGGCTGATGATGCTGTTTCACAAATGCTCCAACGCACCTGAGGCAAGCGATGCGTGTGTGTTTTTCGATGACAGCACGTGTTCTTCGAAGAATACTCTACAGGATACTTCAGTGACTTCAGTGAAGACACCCACGAAACCTGGAGTTGTAGTGGAATAATCGTTATTTTTATTTGTCATTAAAGTCTTTGATGATTGTCTAGATCAGTGGTGAATATCACATGATAGGAAGAAATCCTATTACACAAAAGATCACAGAGACTACTTGTGATCCGTTTGAGACGACACAAGAAACTGAAGGATGATCTTAGCCGACAAATACATTGTGTTTAAAAGGTGAATTGATACTCCAAGTACTTGTTTAAAGCTTAGTAATAGCAAAGACGGTTAATTCAGAATTCAGTGTGTGCATTGATCCTAAACTGATAATTAATCCTGGAATGAAGGTGATCTCGCTGAACTCAATTACGTGTGCCTGATTTGACACTACATACATGTACAACATAAGTTTTAGTTAGGCATAGATTGTGAGTGCCAGCTAACAAATGGGAAGTATTCTATACCTATACATTTCAATGGAAACCGAAGGCACATTTCTCACGTCAAGGAGTACCGAAGGTATCTCTAAGCGGATGAATGATGATGTGTGAAGTTTAGTACCAGGACTTGTAATATCTGACGTCGGTTTTTATATTACCTCTGTGTACAGTTTGACTGAAATATTTCATTGGGCATCAATTTGTAAATTGGTTTCTCTTTTGAAAAAAAATCAGAACGTAATCCATCTTTCTCCAAGAGATTTCTTATTATAAGTATTCTTAATACTCCCAGGCCAAATGTAGCGATAGCATCAAAATCAGGAATATGATACATCCGGCTTTATCACCCTCACTACACTTCTTGACCATGTTGAACACCACTGCTTGTCGCCGTCCATAAGACTATGACCATGGGTTTGCTCAAATAAAGTTCTGATCAGAATTATGAAAGACTTGTAGTTAGAGTTATAGTCTGTTTGCAGTGAAAACGTACCGATGAATTTCACTTTAAACAAAAAGTAAATCAAATAAAGCGATATTAAGATTGCGAATCATCATAATTTTACCTTGCCAATCGAACATTTAAATCTCAGAATTTTATTCAACTTAGGATAAAAGTTGTTTAACAAACGATCATAGTTTCAAATCGCTATTATTGGTTTGAATTACAATTGGGGGAGGCGCAGTAGATGAAACAGTGAAACAAACACACGACCGGTACGTGAGGAGCGTTAACTTAGACCAACCCTACATGTTTTCGGTGTATCATTTAATGTGCATCCCCCTGAGATTTACATGTTCGATTGGCAAGGTAGAATTATGAGGATTCGCAATCTTTATTTTACTTTATTCGACTTACTTTTTTGTTTAAAGTGAAATTCATCGGTACGTTTTCAATGCAAACAGACTATACATGAAGTCACTCGCCATTGTCACTCTTTGCTGTTTCCTCTGATGGTTGAACTACGTTTATTGTTATACCGGCTACACATTTCCCAAATGTTCATGCAAAGGAAATATGCATCTGCTCTCTTGACCATAACATATTTCAGTATCACTGTTAACATCAAAAGTTTATCATTTTCCAATATAACTGTGTGTGCTCGTGCTTTGTGCCCTGCACCCTCTTGGTGTTGATGTACAGTACATCTTCTCCACTTGTTTATTAATATGATTTTCATGCAAATAATGCTATAAAACCCAATGTCGATGCTTAGTATGTAACCTACACCCTCATGCTGTACTCGAGTCATGTGGGCTGTGTTGCTAGAGCAGTGGGGGATACACTGTTTGGTTTTAGTAAACTGATACATTCTGAGAATGTCTGGGTGATTGTAGGTGAGATACTAATTACTGGATAACACTTTCACTGCTGCTGAGAGATCCTAAAAGATAGGACGTTTCTTTCATTTTGCATAGGACTATTAATAGAATGTCCATTTCATCATCGATAATTTCCCAAGGTAAGTTGCCATTGATGTTCGGACAGAATCACATAAATTTGGATTATGATTATCTTTCAAACCTTTCTCTTTTGACATGTATTCTTGCGATGTACAATTGACATCTTTGTGAGTTGAGTTGAGTTGAAATTTGGTTTAACGTCGTGCTGGAGAATATTTCGCTCATATGACGACGTGCATGCGTGTGTATGTGTATGTGCGGCTGCTTGTACTAGCCCAGACTTAAGCTGGTTTTATAGTGCTAGCCCACTGAGATACCATGCCGCAGTGAAGCATGAATACCCCACTCAGACACATTATACTGACTCCGAGCCGACCAGTCCTTGTTGTACCCATTAATGCCGAGCGCCAGGCAGGGACCAACAAGTACCATATTTTAACGTCTTTTGGTATGACGCGGTCGGGGATCGAATCCGCGACCTTCCGCTCTCCGGGCGGACGCTCTAACCACTACACCACGGAGGCGGTCACATCTTTGTGAAGGTGCATCACATAGTATTCATGCAGAAAATGAACTTTTATTACAGAACCATAACCTAAATTCGTGGATAACCTTGATTCGTGGATCGCGGTAATTATCATGCTATCTCGTAAATTCGGTCTCGCATGACGTCACGAAGCGGTACTTTTGATGTACATACAATGCCATACCTCGCTGACAAAATGCTCCGAATCTCTGCAACACAGGTAAATACACAAATATCTAATTGTCCACCAATGAGATAAATAGCCCAAGATCACTAATCCCAACAATACCACCAAATTTCATTTTTACAACATGTCAAGTAAAAAAGATACCGTTAGCACAAACCTTATCACATCTCATCATATGCTTTCTTAGGTGTCAATACTTACTGCAATTGGCTGTCGTACATAGTGATATAAAGTAACCGACTACGTAATCCACGAAACATGATGACGTTACATTTTGTAGGCACATGAATGGATTATGATTGCAAATGGCTTTGGTAAACAAATGTTTCATTCACGAGTGGAATATTAGGTATTTTCAGTTTGCTGAATCAGTGAATAAAATAATCAGTGAGTATACAAAATGAAATTGTGCATTTAAGATATGAATTTTGCCGCCCTTCCCTTATATCCACGAATCAAGGTTACGCAAGTGTATATTTCTATTTCTATTACAACTTATCGTTAAATATGAAATTGATGTCAAGAGTCCCAAATTTAAGAAAGTTCTCGTTAAGATTTGACAATGTCCATCTCAACAACAGCGGCATTGACAGCATTGGTTTCCTCATTATATGTTGATAGTATATACTGTATTGTTTAGTGTATATGCTATTTCGTTATTGTTCTTTGGGGCGACGGGGTAGCCTAGTGTGGTTAAAGCCTTCGCTCGTCACGCCGAAGACCCGGGGTCGATTTCCCGCATGGGTACAATGTGTGAATCCAATCCGCCGTGATATTGCTGGAATATGGCTAAAAGCGGCGTAAAACCAAAATCACCTACTCACGCACTGATTGTTCTTTATGTGTACTGTTTCAGACCTACCCCACAACGACTGTGGGGATCCCCCGCCGATTGCCAACAGTTACAGGACATTCCCTGACAACAGCACCGTGGAGTATTGGTGTATGGACACTTACTTTCTATCATCAGGCGACTTAGTCCGGGATTGCATCAATGGAACATACACTGGAACGTCTCCTGTGTGTACATGTAAGTTCGTTTTTGTATTGTTTTCTTGCAGAGAAGTGAAGTAACAGTGTAACATGGATGGGAGGATGTCTAAACATTACAAATGATTCTTCGATCAAGAACGACCTGAAGTATCGTCACATGGATAAAGTGGATAGTGGACTCAGATAGCGTTTTTGAGCAATTACATTGATACAAATGCTTAATATATATTTGCATGTATGCATGTATCTCGGCATAACAGTTCGGTGTCGATGTCTATTTACAAAATAATATAAAATATTTCCAGGCAAGCTGTTTAAGCAATACATTCAGCTGAGCAGTGTATTAGTAAATTTAGAAATCATGTGACAGATATTCGATCAGCAAAAACAAACTCGATAGCACATCAAACTCTATAGTCATACTTGTGACCTTTAGACTTTTCTAAAGAAGTTGGAATATTATTCATAATTATGAGGAAAGTTAATTACTAAGAGAAAATGTTTTATGTCGCACAAAAACACAATCCTTATCTCAAGTGAAGGTATCCAACGTACGAAAACTGTGTAGACCCGGATTAAAATCACAATTCGGTAACTTTCTACTTGTTCTACAACGGGGTGAGGTGGTCAGACTCACTGAGTGTGCATGTATCGTATATGTTCATAGCTTGATGCGGGGCGGTGGGGTAGCCCCGTGGTTAGAGCGTTCGCAAAGACCAGGGTTTGATTCCTCCATGGGTGCAAGGTGTGAGGCCTATTTCTGGTGTCCTCTGCTGCGATATTGCTGGAAGCGGCGTAAAACCATACTCACTCACTCACCCACTCACCCATAAGTTGATGTTCATTTTGTAGGTCAACTCGATTATTTACCGAACCCCGCCCCACAGCTGAATTATTGCCACAGTGGAAACCCTTGTTATCTTGATCTCAAAATTTCCTCACAAATCAACAAAATAAATACTAGGAAATATCAATATCGATAAAAATTAAACCAGTCCCTACCACCAGAGCAGGCATATCAGAGACGCTGTATCAAATGACGTGGTCATTGACTGCCCAATTCATACATCTGTTCCTTGAGAACCGGCAGAAGGGTGGTTTGGGTTAGAAGGGTGGTTTGGACGATCCTGTATGTGAATATTGCTTCAAGGTTTTGTCCATACTGAAACGGGGAAGCAGAAACGGAATTCACTTCGAGAGAGGTGTGGTGGTGAGAGAGGTGATTTTGCCACTGCTGCTAAATGTTTAAACCCGTCGACGTTAAAAGGTTCATGGGCCGGGTACATTTGACACCACCCTGAGACTTATCATATGAAATTACACTCTCCTATTACAGTGGACTGTGGGCCTCCGCTTAACACAAGCTACGCCAGCATAAACTCTACTGGAACTAAAGCAGGAGACACGGTGACGTACACCTGCCCCAACGGTTTCCTTGTATCCTCAACAGACACTGAATGCAGTGGATCATCTGGGTACTGGTTGGCTGGGGACAGATGCTTTGGTAAGTCCTGCACAGGCAAATATACCAAATGTAGAGAGAAACTTTGACGTAATGTTTCAGCTTGAGCAGTATATCATAAGTACCACAGAGTCACCGAAGCGAATTTATTCACACATGAAACTGTTAATGTAGGAATGCTCATATCAAAGGTTTTTCAGTAAGGAGATTCATCTGCAACAGATCATATCTTGTGAAGTAAAATACTTCACCGTCGTGTATTGATCAGCTGTCTTTGGATTATGTGGTAACCTCAGACAACGGCAGTTACACTCCGGCGTGCAGCTGTGAGGATTATGTGGTAACTTTAGACAACTACAGTTATAATAAAGGATAAAGGATATAAAGCGCCTAATATCCACCATAGAGATGCTCAGTGGCGCTGTGACAATATTGGTGAAGGAAATAGTTCATATAACTTTACAGAAAGGCAGCAGTGAACAGATGGGTCTTTGGCAGAGATTTAAAAGTTTCTTTCGATGAAGTGTTCCTGATTTCCTTTGGAAGACAGTTCAACAGTTTAGGGCTGGCACAGGAGAAGGCTCGGTCAGACAGTTGGTTTGGAGATCTGTGTTGGGTTAGGAGAGAGCCAGAGGAGGATCGGAGACTTTCGCTGAGGTACATACACAGAGATGAGATGTTTGAGATAGTCAGGAACGTTATCATGAGTCAGAATGAGGATTTTGAAGGTAATTCTTGCAGAGATGGGGAACCAGTGTAGAGACTGTAGTACTGGGGTGATATGGTCTAGACGATGAGTGTGGGTGATACATCTGGCAGCAGAATTTTGGATTCTTTGAAGTTTCTGGAGTGGTTTATTTGAGAGGTTGGCATATAGTGAATTACAGTAGTCGAGTTTGGAAGTGACATGAAAGTGCATCAGAAGTTTACAAGTGTCAGTATCAAGGTAGTGGCGGACTTTGCTGATGTTATGGATGTTGTAGTAGCAGGCTCTACTGATGGAGGTGATGTGTGCATCCATGGACATGTTGGAATCAAGGATAACACCAAGATTCCGGGCACTTTCTGATGGTAGTATGTCTGTGTCACCAATACGAAGTGAAGGTTACACTCCGGCGTGCAGCTGTGGGATTATGTAGTAACCTCAGACAACTACAGTTACACTCCGGCGTGGAGCTGTGGGGATTATGTGGTAACCTTAGACAACTTCAGTTACGCTCCGGTGTGGAGCTGTAGGGGATTATGTGGTAACCTTAGACAACTACAGTTACACTCCGGCGTGAAGCTCTCGGATTATGTGGTAAGCTGACAACTACAGTTAAGGATCGAGCTGTTGGGAACCTTAGACAACTACAGTTACGCTCCGGTGTGGAGCTGTGGGGATTATGTAGTAACCTCAGACGACTACAGTTACGCCCCGGTGTGGAGCTGTACGGATTATGTGGTAACCTCAGACAACTACAGTTACACTCCGGTGTGCAGCTGTGGGGATTATGTGGTAACCTTAGACAACTACAGTTACACTCCGGCGTGGAGCTGTGGGGATTATGTGGTAACCTTAGACAACTACAGTTACACTCCGGTGTGCAGCTGTGGGGATTATGTAGTAACCGCAGACAACTTCAGTTACACTCCGGTGTGCAGCTGTGGGGATTATGCGGTAACGTCGAGCTCAGACAACTACGGTTACACTCCGGCGTGGACCTGTGGGGATTATGTAGTAACCTCAGACAACTACAGTTATACTCCGGCGTGAAGCTGTAGGATTATGTGGTAACCTTAGACAACTACAGTTACACTCCGGCGTGAAGCTCTAGGATTATGTGGTAACCTTAGACAACTACAGTTACACTCCGGGTTGCAGTTCTGGGTCTATGTGGTAACCTTAGACAGCAACCGTTGCACTCAACTGTGATGCTGTTACCTATAAATATTAATTAAAGTCATCTGTTGGTTAGGTAATTCAATCACCTGTGTGCCGTTCGTCTACTTGTTTAAATATTTTATGAAAATATGATTCACTGCAACTGATACCGCGTGACTGGAAAAGGTGCGGTAGAAATGGCAACCCATGCATTCATGGTTATCACTTAGTTATTCATTCATTTGTTTTTTCATTTAAGAATGATTTGTCAAACTGTCATCTTTTTCTCTCCAGCAAATGTCAGTTTAGATGTTACACCGTTCACTGCGACACAGACATCCACTGCGAATTTGACCGACATCCTCAACACAGTTATTCTTTCCTCACTGTCACCGAATTCAACATTTGATGCTCCTAACGCCGTGGACCAAACAAACCTGGCATTGAATCTTCTCACCGGCGGCTGTAGCAGCACTAAGCTTGAGCAACGTCCTTCTATGACCGTCACTCTTGGCGACTACTACACCATCTACCAAGTAGCTGTGACACTACCGAATGATGACTTTGGTGAGGGAATGTCTTATCACATAAAACCCGTCAATCTGATGTATAAATAATATTCAAAATGTAATAGTATAAGCAGGGTGCCGTTGTACAAGGCGTCCTTAGCGCCAAGGTGACCGTAACTCCCATACCTTAACATAGACTTCAGGTAGTCCTAGTGCACTAAGGTTGCTTTGGACAACGGCACCCTGATCACCAGACGCAATCTAATCGTGATTACATACAATGTGGTTACAATGCGCTTTTAAAAATTCTGCATCTTCCTACCCAGAATTCAGTTATCTACTCAAGAACTAAAAATGGCAAAATGAATGAAATCGATAGTCTATGTCAGACCCTTTCAAACAGTGATACAACGTTATTAACACGTGGATGTTGTAATTGTCGCCAAAACGTAGCTTAGGCAAAGCACAGATCAGAAACATCCGTTAAAACACATCCACGTCAACCAGTACGTTAAGGTCCTCAGACGTGCATGGTTTTCGTTTGTTCGTTCTCTTTATCTGGGCAGTTGAGTGAAACAGAGAGGAACGGTGACATTTGTTGCTTGGATATTGTGAATCAAGTTTAGCACTAGCCAGGGGATTTCATGTATCTCCAGCATTCTTACGAGACTTTTGAGTCCTAAGACTAATAATCAACCACGAGGATAGTAGGTGGCTTTGTTACGACGTAAATTGTAATAAAAACGCAAATTGTAATACTTGCAGCAAATTGTAATAAACTTGACGTAAATTGTAATAAAAACGTAAATTGTAATAAAAATTGACGTAAATTGTAATACGCAAATTGTAATAAAAATTGACGTAAATTGTAATAATTTTCGTTGCGGTAAAATGTAATAAATATTTACGTAAATTGTAATTACAGTTTTAATTACTCGTAAACACGCAGGTGTTTGTTTTTCGTTGCATTTCATACATCAAATAAGCTTGTTAGGGCGATAACTCAAGAAAGAAATGGTGGATTTTGTTCAAATTTGGTACCAAGGTATATTGGCGAGATTCACCGACACAAGTGAAATGGAGTGACCTTGGGATAATTTTCAAGGTCACAGCAAAAATCTGAGGGTTTTGCCAATATAAAGATTGTTAGCGCGATAACCCAGGAATGAATTGACAAATCTTAGCTAAATGACGAAAATGATATTCGTCCTGATATATAATCGATATAAACTGTCCTCTGTATCATGTCTTTTCGCAAATATCTTTTGAGGTTTTGATATGTATACATATAAAGTGGGAGTGGGGTAGGGGTGTGTTTCTAACGGGTATATCTAACACACTTGCATGCATGTAGAGTCGGAGAGGTGGGTGGGTGTTCTAACGGGTAGACGAGGGACGTTCAAATAGTAGTCAGCCTCACCTAGCTGAATATGATACAAATGCAGCTGTTTTTATGTTTTATTTTTCTACATATTATCTGTCAGCCTCAAGCAAATTGGTTTTGCTATGTTGCAGCCTCACGATCCCCATTTTGTGAGACTTTGTATATTGGCTTGGTACTCCCAAAAAACGTAAAATCTGCAATAAAATGCATCACAAACTTCAGGAAACAAAATATGCTATGTTTGAGATTGGTAGAAGTCGGCTAGAATCAAACTTAGATATTAAACTGCACAAAAAAGCAATTTCAAAACTACAATCGCTTGTTCAAATGACTTCCCATTCTGTTTACTGAAAGAACTCGAGGAAGAAATGATGGATTTTGTTCAAATTTGGTACCAAGGTTTATTGACTGTAGATTGGAGATTTACCGACACCACTTGAATTTAGTGACCTAGAGGTCATTTTAAAGGTCACAGCGAAGGTGTAACAGTTTTGCACATGCCAAGCTTGGTAGCCGCGAACTCAGGAAAGTATTAATAGATTGATTAATATTGATTAATATTGATCCAATTTTATATCAAGGTGTATTGGCGGGATTCCCCCAACACCAATTGATTGGGAAACTTGTGCTCATTTTAAGTTCACAGTGAAAAGTGTTTTGCACATGTCTTACTTTTTAGTGCGAAAATACAAGACAGAATTAATATGTTTTGCTTAAAGGTAGTACCAAGATGCGTTGGGAGTATCGTCTAACGCCAGTCGAATTCAGTGACCTTCGGATTATTTTCAAGGTCACAGCGAGTATTCTTGCGATATCTCCAAACCTAATGGATGGAATTTGTTCGCATATTGTATCAAGGCATCAGATGAAAGTTTCGGTAACGTTTAGGTGTTTAGGTTTTTCAGGGTCAGACAGAGGATAATTGCGACATTCAGATATCGAGCAGCTATGTTGTAGCTATGTTTGTGACAAACGCTTTGTCATTACTAATTTTCAATTTTTTGTTAGCATATGGTTTCTATAATTTCATGTTAATTCTACCAGCTGTGAAATTATTCGTGACACGTCGTAAAAAAGCCAGAGATTATTTGTGTATGTTTCGAAAATTAAAGTTAATTGTTTTTCATTATGGAGTTATTTTCGATGTTGACACAAGGACATATTTTACGAGCAATAGCTTTCAATAATTGAATGTTATTTCTATTACATTTTGAAGTTCTTCATAGCATATCCCAAAATAACAGGATATTGTTTGTTTACGCTTTGAAATGTACGTTTCTCCTTCTTCATTTTCGTATTATTTTCAATGTTGACGCAAGGATATATTTGAAGTCAATCTTATGTTTTGATCATATGTGATTCATTATGATTTATGTTTCGGTCATACATTCATATATTGCGTTGTCATAGTTTAACCTGGTTCGTATTATTTTCTTCATCATATTACTACATATTATTGTATTTTTATGAGAGGGAATTTTAAGTTACATTTGCTAAGGATATCATAAATCGCTAGCGCCTGGTTATTCTTTGCCACATAGCAGTCAATCTGTCTACTCATTTGTTGTATTTGATTGATGCATTTTAAATAAAATGTAGAAATGATACTGAATTGCATCATTTGCTTCAAGGAATCGATCAGATGTGCTCGTTATCAAAGTAAAGTCAAAACTTCTTTCTGTAAGGTATACAGTGGAAGTTGACAACTTAATTGTTATGGGTAGACCAATAAATCATTTATTTAGTTTCACCGCTCAAAATACAACAAAGAATTCAACGGATGGCATTAACCTCAAAGAATGATAATAACAATGCTTATAACATACGAGGGCAAACATATCGGGGATAATTTGTTTTCATGCGATATGCACCGAGTAAAATATCACTTTGTCATGGTGTCATGACATCAGGAACAATGTTATGACGTCACGTTGCTTCTAAGAAGCCGCCTTCTAAATACAACGATGACGGGGAGCCTGCCTTTGTTGGAAAGTAGATTATCGCGTAATTTCCGCAATTAAAGACTTAATAAGTCTTAAAGACGGTAATAAATAGAAAATTATATTCGTGACCATAATATGCTAGGTTAACGACCTAAATATCGGCATATCCCTTCTCTGGTTCCGAAAATACCAAGATTTAGGCAGTTGTGTTGTAAACTGATATTTATCTTCTATAAAGTCGGCTATATTCAAACCATGAGAAATGTCGTCAAATAATGTCTGATGACAGTTACCAACGTCCCAATAGTGTCCATATATTTTAGAAATCTATAACAATATAAAAGCACAACCTCACTACTTTTTTTGATAAATGACAAAGGATTAATCATCCATTTTGAAAGGTTTTCAGGCTTGAAGGACGAAGCTCATTAAAATCTATTGCCAGATCCCTTTTAGAGACTGATAAAAGGTTCGAAAATGTGGGTCATAAATGCATGAAAGTTTTTATTGTTGTTCATACCCGTTAGGCCTCCCGCCTCTACATGTATTTGAGATATAACCGTTAGAACCACCACCACCCCCTCTATGTCTTAAAGTATGCTAGATATAACCGTTAGAACACACCACACCACTTTTCTGCCCATTTATTCAATTGGGCTAAATCATAGTTGAGAGTTGCTTCTATGGATTTTACATATTTTCCCGCAACATCGATTGATGTGTCATCGGGCAACATTATTGTGATATTTTGTAAATTTCCAGGTAAATCATTGATATATACAAGGAACACAAATTAACCAAGGGCAGATCCTTGAGGAACCCCTGCAGTAACATTTAGTTTTTCATAATGTTCCATTAACAGAGACACACTGTCGTCTATCAGGGCCCGGTTGTTCAAAACTCGGTTATCTTTTAACCAGCCGTTAAGTACATTTAACCGACTGTTACCTAATAACAGAGGGTTATCTTGTTGTTCAAAACTCTGTTAACTTTTAACAGGCTGTTAACGTGACGTTAAGTTAACACACCTAAGGACCGCCGCGAACATTTTAACAACGAACGTTCTGTTCCTGCTGCTACTGTAACTTAACTACTCACTGCTCATGCACAGATAAATTACAGTCATTAAAACTATGCTCCATTAATCGGACAATACCAAAGATGTAAAAACCCGTGAATTTCCGGGTTAGAATATGGATCTTCAGTAACCCATGCTTGTCGTAAGAGGCGACTAACGGGATCGGGTGGTCAGACTCGCTGACTTGGTTGACATATGTCATCGGTTCTCAATTGCGCACATCGATGCTCATGTTGTTGATCACTGGATTGTCTGGTCCAGACTCGATTATTTACAGACCGTCGCCATATAGCTGGAATATTGCTGAGAGCGGCGTAAAACACACTCACTCACTCACTCAATGATGTAAATGTGTGTTACGTCAAAAATGAAAAAGACAAGCTATTGTCTGACCTTGTCATTACAGAGCTCTCTCCCTTTCCGGATACTCGATTCCTACAAATAGGACTACCCGAGTATCCGTCCCAGCCTTAGAATGCAGTGATTCATTTGTCGCCACTGAATATGAAATACAAGTGATGTAATTGGCGTTTCAATGCCGGCCTTTGCGAAACGTGATTTTGTAAACACTATCCAATAGGGCGCAAAGTGCACTTGGGCGTTCGTGTGAGTGTATTTATGAAAACATCTGAACACGATTCCAGGCTTATCGG